TATTGTATATACACATACTCACAAGTACAGTACAGGTCATGAGTAACTAAAGCAACACGGTACGAAACATATGATGTGAAACCGCATACATTTCATTATGCACACATGCAGTTACATGGTTATATGATTGCATACTGTAAATTCTGAAAAGACTCGCTGTCGTTTTGTATTAATGTGTTCAATATGAGTATAAGTTTCCTTAAAATGCTCTCCATATGAAACTCACTGAGTGTAGCAAAATAATGAATGAGGACAATTATTTGAATTAAATCATATAAATGTATGGGAAATGGGAATTTAAATTAATTTACATTATTCTAATTTTTGCAACTTTAATTGGAAACAATGGTCATAAAAGTGTTTCTGAAACATATATTTAGCTCTTTCGGACTCTGACAAGTAGAAGTTAAAATAAAGCATATTCTTTATTTTAAGGGTTATGAATTTTACAAAATTAATTAGTATCAAACTGAGGGTCCGGATGAGCCTTAAATTTGAACTTTTTGACTTTTCCAACCCATTCAATTACCAGTAAGTTATAAAACACACACACATATATATATATATACAAATTAACACACCCTCACAATTACACTCCCTCCCACACACACATACACACATACCCCTCACATGCACACCTGCTCTCCATTGTGTTTCATGTCTTAATTAAGCATCCATGGCAGTCAATGAATATAACCTGAAAAAAATCATGGTTATATGATACATCCCAGACAGTTGGTTTTAAAGGTCAAGCTCGACCTTAATTTAAAATGGTAGTAGGTGTTGGGTGGGTCTTATTGCTGCATGTAGCCAAGCTTTGTTAATTCTTAAATTAAGAGGTAAAACAGAAAGGACCTTATAAGGGAATTTATCTCTTTGATAGCTGTCAGAATACTTCCAAGAACACATAATTTACCCATAGGCACTTGTGGCCATGACCCCCCCCCCCCAACATTCAACCCAGGGCTTGTTGATTCCTTACATAAATAATATTTTTATACAAAATACCTTACTTTACAACATCATAAAAGAAAAAGGTATCTATGTAATTTAAGGACAGTCCAGTAATACCCATTTCTCTTTGATGAACTGACAGAAAAAATACTTAAAATTCAAATAGTCCCTTCCTGTGAGTGAGTGAGCAATTGGCAGTCTACTCAAAGTAATGAAAGAGGCAAAAAATCAAAAGTTACACAAAAAATTTATTACCGGTACTATAAATTATGTGATTCTTGTGTTTTATAGAGAGAATCACTTCAAGGAAATAAAAACAAAGCTGATGAATATTTTTCCACTTGAATACAATTCATTTGCAATTCCTAAATTGACACAGAATGATGAAAATTGTTTCACGCTAAAGTCCTTAATGTCCTATGTAAAAAATGTAGTTCATATGCACCCACAATCTTGAAAGAACTTGAAGAACATTATAACTTTGCATCTAAACTGTCACATACTTGGTCTTAATTTTCAAAGTTTTGGATTTCAACATGTTATACCAGGGATTGCTCTCAGTATACAAACTAGTTCTTCTGTGCTTATTTGATGACCACAGGTATACATATTAATTCAAATACTTTTAAACATCCAGGATCCAGAATATAAAGCTAATTTATCTTGAAAAGAGAAAGGTCTAATATTAATTAACAAGATTATTTTGCATAACAAATAAAACTTTATGAAGAATATGTTCCACAGTGTATCATGGTGTACTATAAGCTCTGGTTGGAAGAAAAACCCACATCAGTTTGGTTAATAATGCATGTTTTTTTTTCATTGTAAAATTAACATTTTAATAATTTACTACCATGAATTATAAATATGTACTGTCATACAATGAAATAATTCAAGCATTCTAAAACAACTTTTGTAAATGAGCCACTATTATGCCATCTTGAATCTACTAATTAATTTTATACACTAGCTTCGATCCTTATTTTTCATTTACATTATGAAGCTCATACTCAAAAGACTGTATGCAAAATCATTATTTTTGTCACATAATATAACCTTGGATGACTTTGCAAAGAAATAAACTTTTGATCGACTCAGCATAAAAACACTCCATAATTTTATTCATTATTATGTGTTTGTGTTGATAAACATGATGTTTATTTATCAAAAATTAATAGTGCTTATTATGTACCTGTACCAGTAATTACATTTCAATAAAGTTTCTTTGCTTTGAGTCTTTATGATCCTAACCGAGAAACCATAGGTGGGAAAAGGAACAAAATTAAAGATGTATGCTCGAGAAGTCATGGGCTTACAACTACATAGGCATGAAATTAAAATTTCACTTATTAACTAAATCATATCTGACACTAGTTCGGATTCTAATGAGTAAACATTCATAGTAAGCGTGGGTTAATTACCAGTCACAGTTTCTGAGCACAACAATGATCAGAACCTATTTGAGCTGTACTTTTATGCACCAGGTGTCAATTTTCTAGGTCACTATTACTTTTTATTCCCTACCAATCACGTATATATCCACTGATAACAGCTTAGCAACTTCAAAAACCAAACAAAGTTTGAATAGGGTTATGTGTGCTTTAAATTCCGTTTTATTTGTTTAACCCACTTGTGATGCAGAAAAATTTGGTTAAGACTTTGACTCTTCAGTGGGGTCTTAGTGAGAGATGTTAAAAATGAAATTCAGACTGTGAGTTATTAAAGAATATTTCAAAATATTAAAGTCACATGAATGGATGCTGGATAAAAGAGCCGTTAAATGATCCTCTAAATATGCTTTAAGTGACAACTTTTAAAATTAAAATATATAAAGTTATGCATTACCTGACTTAGCGTCATTAAAAAATGTTGTTATCTATAAATTTCACTCAAAAAAAAAGCTCGATGAACTTTAGTAACTAGTTTAATTATCATGCTGTTACATGTAACTATGAAAGTGTAATGTGTAACATCAACTTTTTTTTGTTCAATTATGGTTTAATTCAAATCATTTTCTTATACATGTAGTCATGCATTCATAATTGCCCTATGTAGTGTCAATCACAAAGTAATATTGCTGTATAACATATAAAATAAAAAAGTCAAAAGTGCTGGACTTTTTACTAAGGAATATAATTTACCAGTAAATTCATAAACTAAGACAAACATTTTTAATTTGTTTTTAATTAACAAAAGAGGCTGTAAAATTTGTATTGTGCATTAAAAGCCAGCTTAAAGGTTAACATAATGATATCAATTGTGCAGTACTGCTGTAAAAAGGGGGGAGGCATCCCCCTTTTTTAGTCACTCTAAAATATACAAAGAAAGAAATCCTATTTATTTTTGTGTGGCTGTGGGTCCCTACCGCGACCCCAAAATGGTCAGCCCCCTCCCTTTTCAAAATCCTTGGATCCATCACTGCATATGAAGTTGGTTGATATAAAAAATGTACAAAAAATCTTTGCCATACCTTTTTCAATGTGATTTTCTCCACTTTCATCTTCTAAATTCTGTCTGTAAAACTTCTAAAAAAAAAAAAAAATAAAGAAGTTGAAAATAGTACAACTTTAACAATAATTTACCTAAGACAGAGAATTTTGGATGACTAATCATGCTTATTCACTGTATCAGTTTCTTATATTTCTTTAGCATATATACAACACAATAATGAAATATTAAAGAGCCTTTGTACAGAAAAACAATATCAATGTCCTTCCGCCTTTGTTTCTTCTTGTCAGAATCGCATCCTCCTACACAAGTACCCTATAATTAACTATGTAAAGAAACAAGACAGACAGAGATTTCATTGTCATTGAATTGCACATCTTTTAAAAGTTCTTTTGACTGAAAAAAAAATGACCTTTACAATTTTATTCTTATTACTCAGTCACATATTTACATGTAAGGCATAATGTTCTATAATTAATTGTTATTTTTTTTTTAGTTTTTCTAAAATTATTATTTTTTCATTGATGACCTGCTTTAAAAAAATCCTTCTTTGTTTAAGAGGTTGATTACAGGATATACACTTGAAAGCAATGGAAAATGTCATTGTGCAGATACAATATTTTATAAAAATTATAAATTCAAATACCCATGAAGGTAAAAATACTTTAATAGAAATATAAGTGTCTGTTAATATCTGCATCCTTTACCCAGAGTAATAAGTAATATATGTATCTCAGAAGTGAGAACATCAAAGCATGACTATTATAAGGTACTAATAATGATGAAAATAAGTAATAAGAAATGTATCCTGCATTTTAGACATTATTTTAAAATAACTCTTAGCAGTAAAAATGATTTTTATAGAAAATAATCTCTTAAACAACCTCCCACACAAATATAAAATCGTGTGTCTTCTACAATACCGGTACTATTTAAGTAAACGAAATTTATTATCTTTCTCCATGCAACTAACGAGCAGTCTAAAGCATATTGTGTTGCATTCGGGTATCAGCAAACTTATTTGATCTACTTTGCGCTGGAGAATCTTTTAACTAATAGCTACGGCATACCTCTGAGGGAAATAAATCACCCTCATTTATCAAGATACCTTTACATTGTAAAGTAACCTTGAAAATTGAAAAGAGAAATGACATTCGATCAACTGATAAAATCTTACTCTATTGCAACAGACCTAGATATTGTGTATATAATTGCATTATATAATACCATTTTGAATGCACCAAAAGATTGTTAGCATTGTCATTTGAACATTTTTAAAGAATAACTTAATTCCTCTACCATCCAAGGGATTTTGGCATTCACGTCATCATATTTATCTGCCGTTTTAATCTCTGCCACCATTTTCACTGTATCCAGAGCAGAACCTGACCCATTTGTCACCTGAAAGTCAGAATTATATTTCTTTGATATAAGGATATCATATTAATTCTCAACTTTACATTACATTTAAAGTAAAAAAAAAAAAAGAATATTAAGTCACATTATTAAGAACCCTCTCTACACTGCACACTAAAGAGTTCTGATTCTATGGTATTTTTTTGCAGTTAGAGTGATCTGCCCCTAGATCTAAATTTTTAAAATAAAAAATTCACAGTTTATTTCACAATTTGTAATCAATTAAGGTATTCTTAACATTTTAAAAGGCCAAGATAAATTAATTGAACATGTTATTTACATGTATTTTCTTTATGGAAGTAAACAACAGTGATTTCTATTCACTGATACTGTGTTGTGTTTGATTATTTTTCCTGGGGGTAAATGACACACACCATATGTTGAAAATCATATAAATAAGCTCAATACTAACACCTTTATAGAATATATTTTTCTCAATATCCAAAAAACATTTTGTACTGGTGTAGAGAGGGTCCTTAAAATACAATAGAACAAGAAAATTGCTGCATACTCAAATTTCTCTTCTTTGGGTTAAAAACTGTTTCATATGTATTACTATTTACTAGTATAGATTAAATTGTACTTTTTGGGGTCTTTAATATCCAAGTGAATCTTGATCAGAATTAACATCTACAATGTATTGATAATGTGTAGCTGCAATAAACTATACTGCTTTAAATAACAGAAAGTAAATTTTAATCATTATCATCAATTCTTAAACATGTAACAGGATAAGAGAGACTAGGCATTAAACCAGAATCCCAGTATCACATAAGTCAGGTGCTATACCACTTAGCCATATCTTGGTCAATACCCAAAATACATATTCCAAAAGAACTTCACCTAAATTGTCTTTTCTCTTCTAGAATCACAACCCAATAATCTTTAAGCCCTAAAAGGACTTCCAACTGCAAGTCCAGGGGATGATCAATGGCACCAATTATAAAAGACTAGGAGAAAATCTATAACTGGACCATGAACTGAACTGAAGGAGAGGACGTTCTAAGTTTTAAGAACTTGTGTCCAATCCTTTTGTTGTAACATCTATTAATTAAAACAATAAAATATGTTAAAACCAACTGAACCTCGAATCCCTGCATTACTAAGACAGGTGCCTGACCACTTAACTATCAACTGCTGTAGTCTATGACTATTAAAAACAATTGGGGGGATAGGTGCTTTTGTTACTGAATAAAATATAGATAAGGCCAAAACAAAAAATAGTCTTGTTTCCTGCTATCCGACCTACCCTATTTTTTTGCACCCGACCCTAAAGTTTTTTTTTTAAGTTTTGGAAAAAAAATTGGGAATTTCAGGAATTTCATGTTCAAAAAAGTGAAGAAAAAAATATAATCAGGTGGTTTTTCATGAAACTGTATATAAAGATGTGATAATATCTGATTTTGAAATATAACATTGACCTATGACATGTTTTATTTGGTTTTGTATATGTTCATATCCAAAAAATACCATTGGAAAAAAAAATTTAAATAAAATAATTTTCCTACCTACCTATCTCGCTATTTTTTTCAGGCTGGTAGCAGGAAACAAGACTATTATTATTTTTGGCCTAAAGTAAGAATGGAAAAAAGTAATTTATTGATATTTGCAAAATCCCTGAAATTTCAGTACTCATGCAATCCAAACAGTTTAGATCTACATGTATTTTAAACAATTTCATGGTATAAGAACTTGTTGCTTCAATCTAAACATCATTCATTCCCTCTAATCAAAAAATGTCAATTTGAATTACATTGATACTGAATAAGTGGAATCCCTAATTTAGTTGCATATATAACTGAAAAATATATTTCATTTGAGCTAGTAATTTAATTAATTTATATTAATTGTGAGATCTTTCAATATATATTAATACTATAATATTCTCATTTCTCCTTTTACTTATAATAGTGTATTAACACTTGATTTGAAAGAGTGATTTAAATTTTTTATTCTTAAAATTTACAAAGAAAAAAAAACCATTTAAAAATTGGCACTGTTTAAATAACTGAATAATACATTATTTACATGGTAAAGCACAGCCATAATCATGATAATTAACCCCTATCATAGACTATGCATAATGGGACTGAACTGGGTGGTAAACTACATAGGCCTATGCTATCCCAATGCTGATCATCATTTTTACAAGCTTAGCAATAAAACTCCCTGTGACAGTTAGAATTAAACAAACATGGAGAGTCTCCTTCATAAGAAAATATCACTTCTTGAATCTTTTTTCTCGATCTCCTCAGTATTCTCAAAATTGCAAATTTGTCCCTTTTTTCTGTATAAACCCTCTCCATTCAATTAGAGCATTTCGCTTTGTGTCAACTATAATCAATACTGCAGTTACAGAAAACAAAAATAGACCTAACTAGGCTTACACCATAAATAATTTTGTATGAAGAGGAAGCCCAAAATCAATGAAGTCTCTATATCTCGTGCCAGGCCATCTATTTTCACTTCACTCGTCTATTTTTAACTTTCACGAGAATCGTCTAGCCGGATGATTTACGTCACAAAACTTTTTTTGTACTCGGAGGAACCCGTTTGTTCTCGTATCTGACGAATATTTCCAAAAATGGAAGTAGTGTTTCCTGTCCGGAATATACCGGAGTTTTCCGAGCTCCATTCCATATATGGACAGTAGGGTTCCGTCGTATTTCCTACGTCACGGTCTGGTATGTGACCTTGTCTCCCATATAAGGAAATTTTAGCAGTCGGAAGGGTAAAGGTCATACTACGATGAGAATATTCCCAGGGTCATACTATGCAAGTTTTCTCCAAAATTACAAATGCCCAACTAATGATTTTCAGTATATAGAAAGAGTATGTTTAAAGTAATACAAATATATATTTTTGAATAAAAAATCTTTCATTTTAAGAATGGAAAATTGCATGACCTAGATTTTAATGCAATTTACTATACAACCGATTACTATAGAATCTCGATTGACGTCACATTTGCGTCAATCGTAGTCAAGCAACGATGAACCGTAGTAAGATCTGATTGGCTAAAATTTTACGCACTGTACTAAGTGTTTCCATATATGGGACATGTAGTAAAGAGAGTTTCATTCATAAATACGTTCAGCTTGGTGAGAAGTTCATTCATAAACTGAACCTCGAATGTGTTTGAGTAGTGAAAAAATAGTAATATACAAATAGTAGTCTTACGGACTGTGATCTAATAGTGTTTACATAACTTCTATGAGAACACGTGTCCACCAGTAAACATTGGAAATGATTATGGACGGTTTAGACACTCTATCGCAAGTTGCATTGGATCAGATTAACCTGACAAACTTGGCTAATCTGTGTTTTGACTGTAATTCTGTACCTGGAGGGGGCCGTTTGCCCTCGGAGTCCATCGATGATTCTTTAAACACACCTGTGACTAGTAATTCGGATACATTCTTTGGAAATGATCCTCTAGGGCCTGTGCCCATTACCGCCACGGGTATGTATTGTGTTTCTGTTGATATGTTTAAATAGCCCTTCATTTACGCTTATACTCAGTAAGTTATAGAATGCCAACAAATATCAGCATTTCATCTCAAATGTTAAGTTATTTTAAAATGCTAATATACAGCAGAACCGTGGTAAATACACTAAAACTTATCGATCAGCTGTTGGGGAATGCTTCTATTTTTAGAAATTCTAATTTGTATTCATGCTGCTATGTGCGTCAGCAAATGTCGATTACCAGTTCATTCATAAAATGGAATGTCGAGCTACTACGTTAAATTTAGGACTTTTTCGGCATTTTGGGGACTTGGGGTCTGTAGAGTAACTTTGTAGTAAAATTTTATTGTAGTAAAACCACGTTATTGTGTTTATGTTGGTCTCCCACATCAAAAAATCGCCTACGCAAACATTTCTATATAAGGGTCAATGGGCGGAGCTTACACTGCTTCGTACAATGTACGTCATAGGCGCATATCTTGAGTGGTCTCGTGCGTAAACCCTATGTCATTAATAGCAGGGTCGATATCTGCAATTTTTTCCTTATTCACAGTAATTGATTTATGACGACAGCGATACCGAACAAATGATCAGTTAATTATAGGATGCAGACGAGGTTAATATTCGAATTCGTATTAAATATAAAAATTATTTATATTTTTTTCTTTTTTATTTTTCAGCAAACATCGAAGCTCAGATCACCATCCCCGAGCGAAATCTCGGTGCAGTTCCAAGCACTCTCCAACAAACTCAGCCTTCCTTTGACCAAGCTAGTCAGCAGGGCATCACTCACCGCATCCAGTACAAGGGCACCCTCGTCACATCCTCCGTGACGCCCTCAACAACTACAGCGGACCAGCTATTTCCAGGCACTGGCGGACAGCCGATATTTGCTCCACTGTCCCCTTTACTGAGCATCCTCCAACAAGCAACACAGGTTCAGGCACAAGTTGCCACATCTGTGCCTCAATGTCACAATGTTCCAGACTATTCCTACCAGTGCCATCAACAGCAGCAGTCCTGCTTCAGTCCTGCTCCATCCACAACATCTCAGCACTCACAGCACTCACATACAGGCTCCCCACAGCCTGATATGGGACTCCCAGATTGCGATGCTTACTCCACAGGGTTTGGGTCCCCCGGACCTTTGACCCCAAGCTCTACTCAATCAACTCCAGAACCTCAGATTCCAGTGTGCGAGCCTTTGTCATTGGATTACACTAGTCCACCTCCCCCTTACTCTCGCACCTTCGAAACTCAAGTGAAACAGCCTCCAGTATTCAGTTCATGTTCTCAACAGCAGCCCATGATCAGTGAACAACAGCCTATGAACATTAGTTATCCAGTGTCAACAAGTATGTCAATGACACCACAAACTGTCCTTCACTTTACAGATGACATGCGTGTCAGTGACATGAACACACATCAAAACACAGAATTCAAATGGACAGTGCAACCATCACAAGGTGGTTTACCAGACTTTAACGCTCTTAATGTTTCCCAACAAAGCTATCAACAGCCTCAGTATCAAGTTCCAAGCATAAAACAGGAACCAGGCATTAGTGACTTATCAAATGACTTCTTAATTCCATCGTCTCAAGCCGACTTCGGCATGTCATCTCAGAGTACCCCATCGAAACATTCGTTGCCTTCATCCATTATCCAGCCCTACCAACAAGGTCAACTCAAACTTATGCCAGTCAAGCCTAGAAAGTACCCTAATCGCCCAAGCAAAACTCCACTTCACGAGCGACCATACGCATGTCCAGTGGAAAGTTGCGATCGTCGATTCTCCAGAAGTGATGAACTAACACGACATATTCGCATTCACACTGGACAGAAACCTTTTCAGTGTCGCATCTGCATGCGCCAATTCAGTCGAAGTGACCATCTAACAACTCATGTGCGAACACACACGGGTGAGAAACCTTTCTCATGTGACGTTTGTGGAAGAAAATTTGCCCGAAGTGACGAAAAGAAAAGACACGCAAAAGTGCATTTGAAACAGAAGATCAAGAAAGAGGCAAAAATGTTGGCTTCAAATGCTCCACTTCCCCCGGCTACCTCCACAAGCGACATGGTCACAAACATTCTCCAAGGAAGTGTTAGCGGGCCTAACACAACCTCAATCCCTCATATAGTTACAACGTCCTCTTTATAAAAAGACAGTAAAATATAAAGACAGCTCAAAAATCATTTCACTCTGTCATCAGGGACTCCGGTGATTATATTTACTATAAATAGAAATGACGTAAGGTTGTCCATGTTTGAGCGGGAAATGAAGACGAGGTAATTCGTTTTTGACGGCTCAGAAAATGGAAAAGTTATACAGTATACTGTTATGTATAGACAAGCTTTATTATAGTCATTTAATGTGTTGCCAAGTGTCATTTTTTGCATTTTACATAGTTGATGAATGTTGTTCTCGTTGTCTGTTATTATTGGCAGCATATCAATAGTGCTTATGTTGAAACGTCGTTATTTGTTAAGTTTTTCTTCCCCAAACAAATTACACTTCAGTAGATCTGAGCCTTTTAATAGCTTTATAAATGGCATTTTATTAATATTTTTTTTTTGTTTTTCCCCTCCTAAAATTTATGTGTAATTTTATACAATATTACCAAACTCATACTTTGTTCATACCACCTCCTATATTTAATATAGTCATGTACAGTTGAGGCTTTAAAATTCTTTAGCAAATTTTTGTGTGTACAATTTCTGTTACGTTGTGATAAATATGTGATTCTGTGAGATTGAGAAAGAGAGAGAGAGAAAAAGAGAGAGAGAGAAAGAGAGAGACAGGTACTAAAAAGTACTTGTATAATATTTCGTTGAAATTTGCCTTTTTAAACGTTTCTTATTTTATTATATTTGAACATTACATGTTGTCATATATCCATATTCTTGCTGGCTAAGAGTAAAAAGCATGGTACTATCATGTTATGATAGTTGACTGTTGAATAAATGAGTTAAAATATGAAACAGGCATTTTATTAATTTTTGAAACGAAGTTGAATTTAATTTGACTTTATCTTGAACATGGCTGAAAAGAAAGAGAAAGGAACTGAAGAGTAAAAAATATCAAATATTTTGACGGATTGGTCAATTTTAAGTAAACACCTACAATATAGGCGACAGTAAGATTAAAACATGACCAACAAGGCAACAGAATGGGAAACAATATTACTGACACTTCAGTAGTTTGCAAATATTTATTACAAAAAGGTATTGATTTCAATATGAAACTCGAGGATGTTAAAGTAAAGTATCGGTCAACATCGTACATACTTTGATATTGAGAAGAGAACAAGAAATTAAAAGGAATTTGAAACAATCTCCCTTAAACTTCACAAGAAAATCTAGCTTGAAGAAAATTCAAATTTCTCGTCTCAGTATCATAATAACAAGTGCAATGGAATTTTTATACTACTTCAAATATTATTAAGAAACATGACACTGCTGGAATGAAAATATCTTGATGGTTTCGATATGGGTGAACACAGGACATAGAATCAGAACAAATTCTAACGACCAAAATTAAAGAACGACCATAAAAAAAATATGGTACATGTACCGCCAGTAAATGATTGAGAAGGAAAAAGTGTTTACATGGAAAAACCAACGTTCATGGACAGTTGTTAATAAGTTGTTTCATGAAAGCGAAATGAAACTGAACTGTAAAGTTTTGAAAGGTGAAAGTGTTAATGACCTTGAAGGGTGGGTCCCCTACTTGAATATCACGTGGTTTTGGACTGTTTATAAAGTATACCTATCATATACGTATATTGTGTAAAACTTTGTCAAGTACGAAAGTGTCAAGGTATGTAATATTTGCAGCTACTCCCCAGTCACCTGTATATTTCTAGCAAGGCTTGTCACATATCTTCGTAGTGCGGCCACTTAGACGGACTATTGTATAGGTCACGTGGGATTAGAACACGTCTTTATAATATAAAATTATGATTCCGAGACCACTAAATTTCATTTGAATATACTATTTACACACACAAAATGTAATTTTCTTTAGACATATATATTTATATTC